GGGGGGGGGGGCTCAGCTCATGTCGCCGCACGCCACAAGACCCGCAGGAAGTGACTCCTCATCCTTTGCCAACAGCACCCTCATGGCGCGCAGCAGCCGCTTCGCCTGCCGATGGTCCATCACATCTGGCCGCTCTTGCCCACGGAAACGGCGCCGCCAACCACTCGTGTCGGCGTGAAACGGTCGCAGGAGTTGGGCGCAGTTATCGATCTGTGCCAGCGCATTCACCACCTCCACCTGCACCGCCGCCGTGGGGGCAAGGAACGCCTCACACAACAGCAACATAACCCGGTGAAGGGGGTCAAGGTGTGTGCGGGTATTCAACCTCTCTCGTTCCCGCTGAATCAGCCCAATAGCGACGTCCGCTTTTGCTGCATGGCGGCTCAACGCGAGTGCAACGGCGTAGTGGAGTCGCAATGGGGCGTAGTCGGAGTGGAGGGCAATGAGTTCCTCGAGAATTGCCGCCCGCCGCACCTCTATGCTATCGAGGCTTGTAAAACTGCTCCTGCAAAACTTCAACCAACGGTCTACTTGTTTCTTGTCCATCTTATGGCTAGCGGCTTCGTGGTCTGCGCAATCGAGGAGGGGCCCCTGCCCTGCCGGCAGTACAGAAGAAGGAGCGTTCGACACCTGCAACAAGACGTGCAGTCCTGTCGCCAGCGCTTCGCTGTGGGTGTCAGTGTCATCCGCTGCGAGGAAATACTCCGGCAGGACAGCCGTAAGGGCGTGAGAGGCCACGGCAATCCACCGCCACAGCAGCTTCGGCTCGTGACGATAATCCTGCAGCGGAGCAGCGTCCCCGCCTTGCGCCTCCAGCAGAACCGGAAGGAGCTTCTCAAGCCCAAACGCTGTGGCGGATCTGTACACCTTTACCGCATGCACAATATTTGTGTGCATTGCATCGTTGTCGCTGGTATTCGCCAGCACCCCCTCCAAGACCATCCCCACCCGCAGTGTGCAGTCGGCTAGTCGATGGAGAGCGGCCACATTCGCCTCCGCCTCCGCGTGCCGCAACGCAGACGTGAGGATTCGGGTGTCGTTCACTATTGCCGCGTGCGGGATGCTGCTATCCCCACTGCGCAGGAGATATGCCGCAACAATAATGCCGAGAACTCCCAGCAGCACCCCGCCCAGACGCCAGGCGCCATAACGACCGGCACGGCTGCGCGTGCTGCCACCATTCTTCTTGGAAACCCCTTTGCGGGCCACCATCACTGACAGCAACCCTTCTCCACGTGCCGACGCACGTCTATACTTGCGACTCCAGGAGAGAGGAGAGGAGACGCAAGTATACAATAGGCAGATGCATGCATTTCAAAACAGATACATACACAAACACACACACCCACAGAGGAAAAAAAGAATGCCCTGCTTCCGCTATTCACAGTCAGCCCGCCCCTCTCACAAGCCGCTCCGTACCCACCTGCCACACGCAGCATAAACCTCCGATGGTTTGGCCAAATAATAAAAAAAAAGCTCTGAAGGGCTTGGGATTCAACAATAACAACAACATTAGCAGCATCTACCGCGATGATGATGCCTCTTTCGGGAATAAAGATAAACTGAGGCCATATGAGGAAGAAAGGGGACAAGGAATACGTCCCACGTGACCCGCACCCCTTCCTTACCTTCTTCCTTATTAACATCATCACAACAGCCACATTGTCTCTTCTCTCACCTTGTCAAACTCAGGTGCTGAGGGATCTGTTGTCTAAACCTGGGCGAATCTCGGTGAAGGACGGTGAGCGGCTCAACGTGTACGAGCGGCGCGGTCTGCTCGAGGATAGGTCGTTTGCCGTCTCATCATTCAGCAGCGTCAGCGTCACCTCCTTCAAATTCGGTATCTTCAGGTGCGGTATCACCAGATTTACGTCCTCCGGGCCCTTTTGAAGATCGACGATCAGCTTGAACTGCTCCAGTGAATTCTTCGCGAAGCCGTCGATGCCGTCCATCACAACTATGGTGCGTGCGGGTATGCTATTAAGCTGTTTGCATACTGCGGAGTAGTAGTCCATTTCGGGTCGCCAGCGCAGCCCGAGTACTTCACCATCGCCGCCGTTGAGGCAGCAGTCCACTAGTGAGGCGAGTTGCGGCACCTCGTTTAGCAACCAGTGGCCATTTTTGCTAGACGTCACACAGCCAACAGAGATGCCGCTTTGGCGGAGTTCTGAGAGAAGCTCCAGCGCACCCTCGCTCGGGCTCAACCCCCGCGACCGCACGCAGTCACGGAAGTGGTGCAGCTTGCGGTGGAATAGTCCATAAAGCGTGTTCTGCTCCATTGAGTCGTCGGGGCTTCCCATCGGCAGATTCGAGATGCCCTGCTTGCTGAGGAACTGCAATAATGAAGGGAACGGCTTACCGTGCTTCAGGTAGGCGAGGTAGAGCTCACCTGTTAAAGTAAAGGTAGGTTGGCCAATTCCTCGAAAAAAACCCTCCAATGTTTTCTTCCAGGCCTCGAAGTGGTACTCCTCAATGTTCTCGATGAGGCTGTCCATGTCGAAAACAATACAGTCAAAGTCAAACACACGTACATCACGAAAGAGGCGCACCGACTCCGGTATGCCCTTCAAAAGGTGGATGCGGTTGGTGTCGGAGTGAATGATGAGGAGCTTGTTGTTGTCGTTAAGAGCCTCCATCATTGTGTATGTCACTGTTCGCCGCGTCACGAGCACCTTGATAAGGCAACCGTGGTGGCGTGCATAGAACTGATACTCTTCCCATTCGTCAGGGAGCACTGGGTTAAAGTGTAGCACACCCTGAAGCACCTTCATCCCACCCAGCCCAGCTGCTAGAGCCCACCAAGACCCTGCCGCCGCACTGCTGTTAAGGCCACGCCCGGTATTGCCAACGACATTGTCAATGTCAATAAAAAAGGCATGTTTAAGGTGAAACAAGGCCTTGTCCAGAATGCCTAGCTGGGAAGCAATAGAGCTGAAGATCGTTGGACTGAGCGAAGAGTCGTTGGTGGTGATGCACTCATAAAAAATGTAATTGGCATGCTTTTCATCTCTCGTAAATTTTTCTGGAAGCAGCAGCGAAGCAAGGACGACCTCGGGGGTTCGGCACACCTGATGACGATAAATCACCGATGGGTCATACTTTCGGATAAGAGGGCCCCCTCTATTCGCCTTTAAATCACCAAAGCCCCATTTTTTCTTGCGCATGAAGAATTGATCCACAGGGTGCACGCGATTCTTTGCATCAAAGAAAACCACCATCTTTGCAGCCGCCCGCTCAATCATGACGAGGTCCTCATCCGTGAACTGACACCGTTCCTTCAGTGCTTCCCATTCGACTGGATACTTCTCCTGTAGAAAAGCCGCGAGCTGCACTGCCCACTGCATGTGGAACTGTGCCATTAGGTTAGTGAAGAGATCGTTGTCGCTTAACCCACTGTAATTGTCCGGTCCGCCGACGGAGCGGATATGGAACTGCCCCTTGTCCCATGTCCCCCAGATGATCCAAATGAGCACTGTAGAGAAGACGACATCAGCGCCACCATGCAGCAATACGGAGATGTCATCTGACGCAACGAAATATTGCTTAATAGCGTACGCCACGACGGCGTTCACGTGCAAGAAAGCTGCGCAGAAGGAAGCTGGGCTGTTTTCTCCTCCATTCACTGTGCGCAGTGGGTAGAGAGCACCTCGTGGAAGGTCCATATCCGCCGCAAGATTGCGTGCCTGCGGCAGGGTATCGATGCGAAACTGCAAGAGGGCCCGGGCTGTCTCGGGATGTACATGCGAGAAGAATGGGATGATGAATGCATCCACATCCCATTGGTGCAGGCCGCCGTAGAGTTCATTCATGAGCCCGCGGGGCGGCGACCCCTGCAGGCACACGCGGCCCGCAGACATGTACAGGTGAAGCATGTTGAAGCGGAGGGCGCCCTGCATTGCGGGATTTCCAGACTTGATGTGCACGCCCCCGACCTCCCAGAATTTTGAAACAGCGCACTGCTGCTCCTTAAAGAGTGTATCATATGTGGCCGTCGCCGCCGTCCGCGCTTGGTGAATCGCTAAGTCGCAGATGTCCTCCGGTGCGGCGTCATCGTCGCTGAGAAATGCCACACACTTTATGAGCTCAATACGTGTACTGTCACTTATGACGCTGGTATAGATGGTCTCCGCGCCAATGTCTGTCTCCTCACACTTTGGCGCGAGGAATGTGACGGGTTTTTGTTGCTGCTGCAGCTGGTCCTTCTGTGGGAGCTGCTGTGCGGAGGGACTGGGGTTGGTGGAGGTGGTGGGTGTGTTGGCGGACCGCTTGAGATTCGACACCATCTCTTGCTGCGAGTGATTCGGCGGCGACACGCTGACAGCGATGCTCGCGCCACTCCCGCCCGTGAAGGCGGATTTTGACTGTGACTTGTGCTCAATCTGCACAGTCGAGCATGCCTCTGTCGCGGCCACCACTAGGCGCTTACAGCTGTTGCGTGTGCGCACGCAAACTGCTGTGGAGGCGTCATGCAGCGTGTGACGGGTGACGACGTTCTCAATTTTGAGGTGCTGCTGCGTTTCCGCTGGCACCGCCGTGCGGGAGACGATGCGGATGTCGGTGTTCAGGACATTCTTCGCGGTCACTGCATATCTGACCGCCGCAATGCACTTCTGGGTGGCCGACACGAAGCGCGCAGACTCAATCGTCACCTCGCGGCCCTGGTTTGCCGAGAGCCACACCATCCGGCGACGGAGTTCGCCGGTGCGGAGGTCCAAGACGCGGCTGTGCGACACAATCGTCCCCGTCTCCGCGCTGACGTGCTCGCTGCCCACGAACACATCGATGCAGAAGGCGTCCGGTACACGGATGAGGAAGCACTCCCGCACGCACGTGCCGACCGTGAAGGCCCTAAGGTGGGACGTCAGCAGCCGCTCTTCGTACGTACCATTGACGTACGTGCCGCGCAGCCCGTGCTTTGGCGCCTGCGCGTTCACCGCGAGTGACGGCCGCCCCGCTTTGGCCATCGTGCGTCGCCTACCGTCACCGCCCCCAGAGTTGCTGTTGTAGCTGCCGCCATTGCCTCCTGCGTTGCGGCTGTACGGCACCGCCACATCCGACTCCTCCGCGTATCCGCGCACGCAGACGTGGCCGTTGCCGACGGAAAATAACGACTCGCTGACGGGGATGTCGGCGCCCAGCGGCAGCGCCGTCTCGATGAGCTCCCACCGCTCGCACACGAGCCGCGGCGTCTCCTCCGACGCCGTCCGCGATGACCCCGCGCGGCGAGTCTCGGACGATGCCATATTTGTTATCGCTCTCTCTCTCTCTCTGTATATATATATATATACAGCTCTCTTTCTCTCTCTCTCTGTATCTTTGTATTTCTCTGTATCTCTCTCCCTCTCTCTCTCTCGTGCGCGCACACCTTGTCTCTCCTACGTTCCTCCCCACTCTTTGCGTGCCTCTTGATTACGCCACCCCGCTCCGCTGCCAGCAGCCCTGCGTGACAGTTGCTCCTTCCTGTTTACGCCACAGCGTGCACGGGAGACGAGATGGCGTGTTGTGCGGGGGTGCGTTTCGCAAAGCTACGACAACCAAAAAGAAAGCCGACAAAAAAAAANAAAAAAAAAAAAAGAGGGAAGAAGAGAACATGGAAAGTGGGCCATTTTTTTTATCTTCCGGTTGTGCACCACGTAAGCAGCAGCGTGTGTGTGTGTATGTGTGTATGGGAGGGGTGGGGGAAAAGAAAGAAGGAAAGCTCCAACGAAGATACGCAAGTAGCCCCGCCGCTGCTTCCTCTTACGCGACGCGATACGCCGTTGACGCCGTCGACTGCGATCGCGACGGCTTCAGCGTGCGACGAATTGTACCACGCAGCTCCGTGAACTGCCGCACAATCACGTCGTGATCGGAGCGATACTTCATGGCCAGCTCCCGCGCCTGCATGTCGAGGTGCCTGTCCAACTCCTGCAGGCTCTGCTCAACTCGCTTATCCTCTTCAATCTTGCGCTGCACCACGCGGCGCAGCTCGTGTACGTGCTCCTGCACCTTCCCCTGCTCCTCCTCCGTGAGGCGGCGCTCCTGGATGAGGCGGCTGTTCTGATCCAACAGCGCCTGCCAGTCGCACGTCACCATGCGGACGCGGTTCTCCAGCTGCGCCGTCAGTTCCTGCACCGCGGTGAGCACCGCGCGGTGCCGCGGGTCGGTGACGCACCTCGACAGTGACATCTCGGTGCGGCTGTTGTTGAGGTCCTGCAGTGACGCGTCGCTGATGCTGTTATTGGCGGCGTGGTGTGGGTGGGCGCCATTGTTCACAATGCTGCCGTTGAGCGACAACACGTCCTCCACAGCGACAACGCCGCCGCCGTGGCTCTGCACAACACTCGTCAAGGCGTCCAGCAACCGCTCTACCCCCTC